TTTGTCACATCAGTTTTAATCTTCATTTAACTCATATCACAATTTTACTAGAAATGGGGTTGTAGCCCTTGGCCTTTAAACTTTTATTTTTTACATTTTGAAAGCATATTTTGTAAAATGAAATTAATAATATTTTATTAACTAATTGAATTCAAACGACAATGATTCATTAAATAAGAAAATTACATTAATAAAAAAGATTTGAATAATAACAACATAAATGAAAAAATTTAAAAATGACATTGCATTACGAAGAAATTATTGATTATTTGAGCGGCTAAAAATATGTTCAATCAAATCCGTCGTTATTACATTGTAAATCTCTCATCTTTGAATTCTTGATGATTTTTTCATTTATTTTCTTCATCAAATTTTTCATATGTAGGCACCTCTTTGTTCGAGTTGTAATGACAAATTGCAAACTCGTTGTCCTCCATGGTCATAATATGAATAGTAATACATGATATTTCTCATTTTCATTTGAAAATAACACTTGGATAAACGATGTAACACATGACACTTACCCTTCAGCACCCCGAAGGCTTGTTCGATATCTTTACTCATCGCCTCATGAGTTTTTTTATAGGTCTTGCGTTTAAAACTCAATGGTTCGGAAATGGACTTGAAAACTATAGAATAATCCAATCGTCAAAGCTTAAAAGACGATATATTTCATCGATAAGATAATAGCCACACTTGTAAGACGTCCCTCAAAGCTCAAAAGACGAGTCACGTGCAGTTTGATTAACCCAATCGTCAAAACACATGTGATTAGTCCAGAACATTGATTTCGTTGTCCGAGCCCGCGACACCAAAAAAGCATGCAAAAATCACAAGTCACTTGAAGCCACAATTACGAACGTAATAGGTGGCTTGCAATGATCACACCGGGAGAACTATTCATGTCACGCAATGAGACAAATTTTCTATTCTCATTGCATGCAATCAATGCTCCCAAGCATGCTGACAAAACTGTGTTTAGCGGCATGCCTTGCCCGCAACTGCTTAATGTCGCTCGATGTCGGCTTATGTAAATACCTTGTATGATAAAGTCGAATAAAAGTTTTAGAAAATTTATAAACACATGACCTGATGCTCCGAGCTGCCATCTTCAATCACTAGCCATCACGTATGTCATTTGACAAAGCGCGGTGGCACACTTGTGGACGCTGTTGAAACTGCGGCGGCCTCTCGCATAAAAGCGGATCCTGCTAAACACATAGAGTATTGAAGTGTTCGTTGAGCAGTGATTCGTGTGCAGATTTAAACGCTCACGTCGGATCGAGCGCCGAACGATTTCGCTTCCTCTTGTTGGTCTTGTTGCTACCATTGGTAAAAGCCCATTGCAAAACAACAAAAAATGAGAGCTTTCTTTCATTGTTAGATGAAGATTATCTCACTTTTGATTGATTTAATTTGTAGAAAGAATTAAAAGAAATAGAGTATATTTTGGAAAAAATTATAGATAGAATGAGAATATATTGTGTGTATTATTTGTGTTTAAAAGATGAAATTTACGCAAGGGATATAACACTGGGATGAGGGCGGGGGTGGTATTCAACGCCCTCTCGATGTTAAAATCGCATTTGACGTAGTGGGCGTCAAGCCCATTTCCAGTGCTCTTAGAGTACTCCGTATAACTTATATGGAATACTCACCAAATCAAATCCCCAATCACCATTTTAAATTTGCCTAGTACATGCAATATTAATTAAATAGAATAATATTCTATAATATTTTATAACATAATTTGAATAAAATTATTCTTGCATCAATATCTAATACTCTCTCCGTTTTTCAAAACGGTTCCTCTTTTGACTTTGGGGAAAAATAAGGAATGTATAATTTTAATTGACTTTCCAATTTTGTCCCTGATGTGATGAGTTAAGGTAAGATGTGATAGTTTAGTTATTAGTGAAAAAGTATGATGTGATAGGTAGGGTATGAAAAAGTAGGGGTAAAAGTGGTTTTTTAATAGAAAAGGAAGTGTTTTAAGAAAAAAAGTGAAAGAGGAATAGTTTTGAGAAACAAAGGGAATATTATCTACATACAATTTTTTTTTTCTCGTTTTCACTTAGCACAAAGATCGATTAAGAAAAGTTAAAAAATGTAAAAAGTTTCAAAATTTGTCCTTGATATGATAATTAGAGTAAATAGTGTACATGAAAAATGAAAGTATAATAATACATTCATTAAAAAAATTGTAAAAATTTGAATGAGAAAGAAATTTGTTGATGGCATAAGAGCATGGGCAGCGCCTTCCACGCCTTTGCCATGTCATGCCACCTCAAACAAAAAAAAATTCTTCCTCGCGTGGAAGTACCATTCCTCCACGGTGTGCAAGGCTTGGGTGAGGCAACTCACCCTATTTTTTTACTTTTAAATTTTTATTTGAGGAAAGAAATATTTTTTTGTAAGGTAATAGAACTATTTTTTACTTTCTCCATCCCGCAATAATTATAATTTTTTCCCTCACCTCTCGATTTTTTTGTTTATTTGTATGTTTTCATTGATTATTCTTTAAAATAAAATACTAGTCAATTTTTTTTGTAAAATTTTTGACGTGATTTTTTTAATATGTAAGTTTTATTTTTTATCATTATACTAATTTTTTTAAAAAATAATTTCAAAAAACATGAGGTTTGTATTGTAATTCTAAAATTGTAATCTAATTTGAGATTAAGGGGTAAAATAAAATATGGAATAGTTGACAAAAAAATTCATAATTAAAATATTTAAAAAATATCTGTTACTTTTTTGAGTAAGTAGAAATACTTTTTTTGATAAAATAAATAGAGCAAACTCCCTATATATGTAATTAAAAAAATTGCATTTAAAGCTCCTCTAGATCTTGCTTCAAAAAAAAAGCTCCTCTAGATCTAAAGCAGGCTGCTCAACATCATGGGCCAAAAAAGAAAAAAGAAAAACGACTGTTCAATATCCTTTGCATTCAATTCCTTTTTTTTAAATTTTGTGAATAATTTGACAAATATATAGATTAATTTTATAAATATGATATTGTAAGATATTAATTTAATCATAGATTGTATGTATATTTCTTATGATAATTTATTTGAGGTAATTTGTTTTTTTGTTCTATTTTTTAATAGAATTTTGTGAAAATATTGACAAATACATAGTTTAATCTTACAAATTTGATATTATAAAATAATTCCTCCATCCCAAAAAGTTTTACACATTTTGACTAAAGTATAAAATAAGGAAGGAATTATTTTGTGTTGACTTTCCAAAAATAACCTTAATTTGATATGTAAAAGTAAGATGTGATGTGTAGATTATAAGAAAAAAAGTATGATGTGATAGGTAGAATTTGAAAGAGTAATGTGTAAAAGTGTTTTAATAGAAATGGGTAGGAGATTGTGGGACGCAATTTTTTTGAAAGGTGTAAATCTTTTTGGGACGGAGGGAGTATTTATTTAGCCATTATCTTTAGTAGTTTTCTTTCGTTTAATATATTGTGCTGGGTACTTAATGTTTTGAGGTTTTAAACCGTTTGTTCAGATATTTGTTTATGTTGAAATATTTGGTTTGATAAATTATTTTTTTACGGTGTTATGTTGATATAATATCCACTCCCACCTACCCGACAATAATAATCACACCCATCTAAACAAATTAATACTCACACCCACATACGCTACAATAATAATCACACCCACCTAGCAAGTCACTCGAAAATTTTGTCTCCGCCACGTGCGAAGCAATTTCCATAGCAAGTTTCGAAGTAAAAAACTGAGGATTATGATGTACAAAGCTGGTGAGACCCCTAGCAGAAGTGAGTTTGAGCTTACACGAAGCTTACAACTTATTTATTTTATTTATGAATTTTACAAAAAATCAAGAAGCTTACAACTTATTTGTTTTATTTATGAATTTTATTGTTAGTAGATTGTTTCATTATATGTAAATAATTTGTTGATTTTTATAATTTTTTTGTTTTTCAAATATAAGAAAAATAATTATTGAAACAAACAATAATTGTTTGTAAAACAAAAAAATTACGGAGTATAAGAAAAACAAACCTGGTATTTACACGGAGATGTTCAATTATTGGCTACTCTGTTTCCTAATTAAATAATTGGAACGGAGTTGGCTACTCCGTTTTGCTAATTAAATAATCGGAACGGAGTTCGCTACTCCGTTTATGGTGAATTATGCAGTCCAAACGGAGTCAGCTACTCCGCTTTGTTTTACTTGGGAAACTACACATTAAAGTTACATATAATGGAACACGAAACAAGTAATCTACACATGCAGGAAAATCACCCAAATAAATAGGTAAAATAATTTTTAGTAATTCGAATATGTCAAGAAAATGAAAAAAGGTGATAATAACGACTTGCCACTGTAGTGCATGCCATTCCACTCACTTGCCACTCAATGACTGGATTATTTTTCATTGGTTGAAAAATTTCACGTCAGCGTGTGACATTCCATTTATGTCTCACCATTGTTCATGCTCTAAAGATGAAAATAGTGGAAAGACCGAAAGAAATTAATAGGAGAGAGTATAAATTCTATGGCTGAGGTAGTACGACTACTCAATTCTAATTTTGTCAATTTCATATACCAAACGGATACATAGTGTCTATATAAAAGAATATGTATACATCATAGTGTCTATATATAATATAATAAAAATAATAATTTTTTAAATACTCCGTAATAATTTGGTCAAACACACAAAAATTAATACCACATGTTATATTTTTGTTTCATTAACATTTTTATATTTATACGAGTTTTAATCTTACTTATACCTATTTTAAAATTATTATTATTGTATTACTAATCACGTTTCTATACATTGATGCATAGTCACGAGTGGGGGGAGATCCTATCAATAATTTCTCTGCTTTCAAATAAAGTATTTTTTTAGTCTTCGAAATTTTATCAAAATTATGAATTAGGGAGCAGATAAAAAGAAATCCTTTAGAAATTAATCGTATATTTCAATTTTCAATCATTCACAAAGCACAATCCAACGAGGCAAACCACTAAAAAGTCGACGGTTGGACCCAGAAAATGGAGACACGGTGGCGTTTGGTTGCAATTTCCAATTCGGCGGCGTTTTCCTCGGCGAGTTTGGGCAACTTCACCGATCACCAGGGTCCAGACCTTCTAAAACCAGAGGAGACTCAGAGACGTACAATCGCTCCGGCATGATTTCTGCGGCAGCCAGTGTCCACCGTACTGCTTCACTTCCCCGCGCCCAAAACCTCACGCCCTACAAATGGCGGCATTTGTTGAATCCCAAGTGGCCGTCGCGCTCGGCCAACCGGAGCTTCTCTCCGTTCTTTACTCTTAGAAATAGTCACAGGCGCGATTTCTCATCTCCGATCGTCCAATTGATCCCAATTAAAGCTTCGGCAGACGATACTCAACCTGTTGGCGGCGGTCCGGTCGGAGACGGAGTGCCGGAGCCGAGCTTCGTGGAGTTCATTACTTCGGAGAGAGTGAAAGTTGTGGCTATGTTAGCTTTGGCATTGGCTTTATGTAATGCCGACAGGGTTGTGATGTCTGTGGCTATTGTACCGTTATCCGATTCGTATGGATGGAGTCAATCTTTAGCAGGCATTGTTCAGGTGCTCACCAGCTTACGACTAAACAACTTTTTCTTCTAATGTATCTGCCTGCCTAGTGCCTACCTTCCCCTGCTTGATAGAATTTCCATCTCTGAAATGAAGTAAAACTGAAAAAGAAAAATCTAGCCATGTGGAAAAAGTGAATGAATGTGCAGTCTTACTAACAAGGAACCCTAAGATGTTGATTTGGTAAGTAATGAAATATCTGTTGCTGACAAAAGCCAAGTACCAAATCGAGTTTGATGTTCAACTTAAAAAATGATGCACTTGGACCTAGGCTCATTGGTTGGATTTTTTTATCCAACTAAATTTCTTTTTCAGGGTCTACGTTTAATTGATGGATTTGTGCGGGTTTGATTTGGAAGTGTGGTGTTAATGTTTTAGAATCCTTCTTTAAGCTATTGATATCTAGGACAATGTAGCATGATTAAAAGAAATGATGAATGCAAAAAAAAGTTATTATTACAACTGTACATCAATTCTTGCAAATTTCTTGGTAAGATAATCATCATTTGATTATAGTTTAGATGATAAACCAAAACGATATCTTAAAGGGTGCTAATAGGCATTTAGGAGTTGTTAACACTTACGAGAGGTTTAGTTTCTTATAAACCTCTGTATGAGCATTGAGCACATTTATGTTGAAAAAAGCAACTCATCCATAATACTGGAATACAGTATGTTTTTAATTTTCTTAACTGATCGATGAGTAGCTAGTAATCGCAGTCATCTTTTCTATGGGGCTATCTGATATCACCAATTGCTGGAGGGACACTAGTGGATTATTTTGGCGGCAAGGCAGTTTTGACATGGGGTGTGATTTTATGGTCTTTAGCCACTTTTCTAACTCCTTGGTCCATGGGGGTTTCCTTGCGGACACTGCTTTTCATGCGGATGTTGCTAGGCATTGCAGAAGGCGTAGCTCTTCCCTGCATGAACAATATGATTGCAAGGTATACAAGTCATGCTCATTGGATAATTCAACCTCCGTTTTAAAAAATAAAAGTGCGTGGTTAAAATTTATGTAAAGGAATTGTTTACTTCAAAGAAAACAAAAACCTTATTTTTGGATTGATGAAAAAGAAAAAAACGAACCTTTTTGAATGCTTAAAAGTATATACATGGATATGTTTTTGGACCAAAATTGAGCTGTGCTGAGCTGGACATGGCCTCTCCTTAGTTCGGACATGGAGTGGAGTGGAAGAGTAGTGACACACCATTTGCTTGTAGGAGGTCAAGAATCCAATGACTCTTTCACAAGAGCCTTTCATGGCCCTTATTATCTAGCACACACTTTCACAAAATTTTCTTAATTTTGTACTAAGATACTTTTTTTTGTTTGAAACAAATACATTTCTGTCAATTTCCATAAAGTAATTGAAGTAACTTATAGTGTTGTACAAAAACATTTTTTGTCACCTAAAAAGAGAGAACATTTTTCTTCATAAAGTTCCTGTAAAGCTAAGCAGCAATTAGTTTTCAGGTTAGGCTTATTTTACCCATCAGCAGACTAACTTGTTTTTCAATCCAGAAAATCCAGTTGTTTCAGTCATTTCAGTTGAATAATTTTTAGCAAAAAGTCTTTCAGCCCATTAACCCAAACAGTCCTGTAAATAAGTTTAAGCGGCATAAGTGACCATTCATAACTTTTAAAAGATTGTCTTTGATTGAGTTGAGTAGCCGACTAAAAGTGTTGTACCTGACATAAACATGTCACTTTTTTTTACAGATGGAGTTACTCCATATCTTGTTTGTTGCTTAAACATTAGTACAGTTTAAAGAAGCATAAAACCCCAACACCATTTGTTTCACTACTTTTTTTCATCAGATGGTTTCCACGGACAGAACGATCAAGGGCTGTAGCTCTTGCAATGGCGGGATTTCAGCTTGGAAGTGCTATTGGGCTCACTCTCTCTCCAATTCTCATGTCCCAGGGTGGTTTGTTTGGACCATTTGTTATTTTTGGTCTGTCCGGCTTTCTTTGGGTTCTGGTATGGATATCTGCAATCTCAAGTACACCTGAGCGGAGCAACCAAATATCAACACAGGAACTGCGCTACATAGAACACAAGGGACTAAATCATTCTGCATCTGACAGTAAAATGAAAACTGCCAACGTGATCCCACCGTTTAGACGCTTGCTATCTAAGCCACCAACATGGTCTTTAATTGTTGCAAATTCCATGCACAGCTGGGTAATACATAAGTTTTTATATTAGTAAATGTTACACTTACAAATAATGACATTTATTAAACATGCAGGGTGCATGTCGTTTTTAACTTTCATTCTAATCAGTATTTGCCAGTATTTTGTGTTATAGTAGTACTGTAAATACTACCTTTGTCCCATAAAAAGAGTCATATTTGACCAATCATCATTTTCTGTACCTTAATCACAACTAATTGGGGTCCATGATAATAAATTTATGGTACTAAATGATTGTATAAAATTACTTATCACTACAAAGGCATGCAAAAATGTATTGTTGACAATGTTATACTCCAACTACCTTATTATCCCAAAACATTTTGTTAAAAATGTACACTTTTTTATAAAAAAATTTTGGTAAGATAAAACTATCACAAAACATAAATCATACAAATATTTAATTGTTCTATTGTTGGTATAACTAAATTTATCCTCCAAAACGTCAACCTTTATGTCTCTTTTTGTAAGTTATTAACAAGACAAATGAAAAATTAGCATCTTTTGATCGAATTGGACTCTTTTGGGCAATAAAAGGTTGTCCCAAACAAAATGCTTATTTTGGGATATTGGGAGTATCAAAGTACCACATATATAGTAGAGAAGAAATAGTTTATTTATGATTCTTCTGTCTATATGTTAATGCAGGGATTTTTTGTGATGCTTTCATGGATGCCAATTTACTTCAAAACTGTAAGTTGAAGCAGATAGTTTTGTTTCACGAATGCATTTGAATTACTGTAGATGATCGTTTGATGTTTTTACACTTTTTTTGGTAGATATACCGTGTTGATCTCAGACAAGCAGCATGGTTTAGTGCTGTTCCATGGAGTATGATGGCATTAATAGGTTACGTTGCTGGTGCTTTATCTGACCGTATGATTCGAAGTGGTATAAGCGTTACACTGACCCGCAAAGTGATGCAGGTATGATATCTTCTATAAATTTATTTTTGAACATTATGGCTGTGTTTGAAACTCGGGAAATGCTAAGGAAGGATCACATTCAAGGAAGATACTTTTCTTATACGGAGTATTTAGTTTTACCTTGAAAAGTACGAAGGATAATAAAAGTTGGTTTTTGAGCCGCAATTATAGTTATATGTTACACCAATTTCGGAAACATTCGAATAAAAAGAGTTTGAAAAAAAAATCAAAATTGATTTATATGCAGTTTGAGGCAATTCTTTTATTTATCCCACACAATGTCTTCCCTTCCGAATTATCTAGGGAGCATCTATTTTCGTCCTTGTTTTCTTCCCTTGGCATTGTCCGAGTTACAAATGGTCCATATAGATCTTGTCATTTCAGAATTTGGCTATTAACTTCCAACACACTTATTTTATCTCCTTTTGTAGTCAATTGGTTTTTTTGGACCTGGGATTGCCCTCATTGGTTTAACTAAGGCTCCAACTCCAACAATAGCATCAGCTTGGTTTACTCTAGCTGTCGGGTTAAAAGCGTTCAGTCACTGTGGCTTCCTTGTAAACCTCCAGGTTAGCATATTTATCCAATCCAACATAATTATCCAATGAGCAGCGAAATCACCTACTCACATCTTGTTCTTTTACTATCTTTCTCTTGACCAGGAAATCGCCCCTCAGTATTCAGGTGTTTTGCATGGTATGTAGCTTCTCTCCCTAAATGTGAGAGAGAGAGAGAGAGAGACTTAACTTTTAGCAGACCAACCTTTAAATTATTAATAAGCAGACCAAGTCGTAGCCACTTATTTGCCTAAAGCTGATTTTACCCCACTTACCTTTTGTTTTTCGAAAATTCTGCAGATTCACCCGTTTCAATCAAAAGACCATTGCCAAACAGGCCCTCTAATTCTGCTCTTTTTTTTAAAATGGTACATAGGTATGTCAAACACCGCAGGTACACTGGCAGCCATAATAGGAACTGTTGGCACGGGCTTCTTCGTCGAGTTAGTTGGTTCTTTCAAGGGATTTTTAGTGCTCACGTCATTTCTGTACTTTTGTGCTGCTCTCTTCTATAATGTCTTTTCCACAGGAGAAAGGGTTAACTTTGATGAAACTTGTTAGATGTATCATCATCCTTTCTATAGCTCAGGGTTGTGGATTTCCTGGCAACATTAGCACTCTATATAGGTACTCATCATACTTCTTATTCGTCAATGGAAGCCAATTTTGTTGCAAAAATGTTAAAAATTACAGTGTATGTTTGAACTTTAGGCGTTTATTCCATTCATCAACCGAAGCAACACCTATACTTTTGCCTAGTCACATTTGAATACCTGACAAAAATCAAAGCGTCAACAGAGTTATGGGGTATCCATATGACCACATAGTTCAAATGTTTTATATACACCCACCCCACCCCACCCCCACACTGATGATTTATCTGCAGTTGGTGTCATGCTAAATATACTGCTTACTACATATTATCCATTATTTATGGAGAGTAAACAATGGGTTCATTATTGACTTTTTGCTTCCTTATAATGTTTCTTAAAATCCTTAGTACATTGTAAACCTATCTAGAGTATGTGGGTTGATTATTTGTTTTATTATGAATCTCACATACATATACTGCACATATATCTGTTTGAGCATAGATATAGCCTGATATTATTATGTCATTATTTCTTATGAGTATAAAAGCTCTTGAGTTTTACAGAGTAATAGTTACTCGATACTTATATTTTAGATTCTAATGTTTAGTTCGCAGTGAATTGCTTTCTTATGATTATTTTAAAATTGTACCCTTCTTCAAAATTAAAACAATTTAACAATTTCATTTTGAAAATGTTGGTCATGTAACGCACGCGTGGAATACTAGTTAAGTTAGTGAAAATAGAGACTTTTTCATCTAAACCTGATTATTGAGTTTGTGTGCTCTTCTCGGGCTTGGAAGGTTTGAAGCAAAAGCGAAGTTTAGCAAAGAACCTGATGGGGCTTGTGTTTGGGTCGCGATCCAACCGGTTTGAATGCCGGCCAAGTCTGATAAACATCGGAACATGAAGAGCATATATGTAAATGATATTTTAGTCTTTCCATTGCCATGACACCAGTTAAGAAAAAAGGGTTGTATATAGTACTAGTTTTATTTTAGGAAAGTGATATTGTTTTGATACCGTGCTTCTATTTCATAGGTAACAACAACTCAGTTGAATCTCACTATCTGGGGAGGGTGTGTGTACGCATACCTTGCCCCTACTCGGAAGTAGGGAGACTGTTTTATAGGTAACATTCTTTGAAAATCTACAAACTTTTGAATATTACGGAGTATTAGACTTAGAATTTAGAAAAATATGGCTAATATAAATCATTATTTCAAAACATTCTTTGAAAATAAAGGAAGGTTTGAACACCATTAGATTTAAAATATGTTAAAGCATACATAGTACTTCATTCGTCCATTAATTTCTTTTTCACTTTCCTTTTTAGACCGTTCAAAAGTTTCTTTTTCATTTCCTATTTTGGCAACACAATTTTAATAAATGTTCCATTGTACCTCCACTTTTTTCTAACACTATTTACTTTATTTTATTGCATCAAGAGTAAAACAAAAAAATTATACTTTTTAACTTTTCTTAATCTCTGTGTCAAGTCAAAACCGGAAAGCAATTTTTTGACGGAGGGAGTATCAATTAAAAACCCTCAAATTTAAGAACATTTTAAAATCTTAATTTCTTTTGAAAGGAAATTTAAAATCTTTATTAATATTCACAAACTTTTGAACTCCACAATGAAAACAAACCCCCAATTGAAAACACCCCAAGTGCATCAATTAATGCTGTTGTCTCTAACCATACTCATTTTCATAATATAATAACCTAAAACTAAGTTGTTGGAGCGTATTTACAAGACATTTATTTATGATGTTAGGGGTGACCATTATCATTTTCGGTTGGGATTCTAGAAAAGAATGAATCCCATCCCCATAGCCCACTTAGACCTAGCCACACATTTACGAAGAAAAAGAGATAAATAAAGCTTTAATCAGAGATTGGTAACAAAGAATATAGTCCAACAAAATTAATTAACAAAATATAAAAGGAAAACAAAATTTATCAGAAAAAATTGAAGTTTACTACGTATATGGTGAACACATCAAGCCTTTTGTCCAATCTAGGCAAGAAGTCCTTTGCCACAATCTGCTGCAAATGTAGAAAAAGATACTCCGTATTAAAAAGGTGTGAAAAAATATGTTTTTTTATGCATAACTCTAAATCTTGATAGACATCAAGTAAAATGGCTGAAGAAGTCATTATGTATAGACATAATAAGCACATTTATAGGCACTAGGAAATCTTATGTGCAAAAAATTGGGTTAGATGTTTTGAGATTTTGATGAAGGTGAGGTACAACTGGCATTGTGGAAATTTGGATTATCCATGTTGAGGAAGGCAGGGAATTCAATAGTGACCAAGTTCAAGGTCAAAAATGACTTCCTTAATACTATCTCCGTCATTGAGTATTAGTCCAGTTTTCACTTTTTTCGATCAACTATTTTCAAACTTTGACCAATAATTAAATAAAATATATATTACTCCCTCCGTCCCGGAGTATTCGTCCACTTTTGACTTTTGGAATTGTTCATCTAAACACTTTGACTCATCAAATTCTCTCAATGTGTAAGCCTAAATATAGTCATGTGTTATCTTGTTTGATTTGTCTTAACATATAGATTATTAATATATAATTTTTATAATATTTTAATATACCAATTACAAGATAAAATGATTAAAGAAGTGCATTGGATGGTGTATAAAAATGAAAGTGGACAAATACTCTGGGACGGAGGGAGTATATTTTAATGGAATAAAATAATATTTTGAAAATATTTGATATAATAAATCTAAGAAAACTCTTTTTGTTTCAATATCTAATACTCTCTCTGTCCATCATAGATCTTCCCAGACACTATTCACAGGGTCAAACTTTATTCACTTTATTTACTCAATTTTACTAGTCATTTCATAAAATAATATAGTCTTGTCACCTCTAGTTTTGTAGAATTTTTCATGTAGTTTATTACTACTTCCGTCCCATTTTATAACGCCTGTTTCGATTTACGATGTTTGACTGAAATTATTTTCAAACCATTTTATATGACAAATGATATAGAACTAAAAAATAAAAACTACATCAAAAGATTTGCAAAACTAGTAGTGACAATAATATTTTATTTTATCAAATTGCTAACGAAAATAGAGAAAGAAAGTGAATGAAGTTTGATCATGTGAATAATAAACAAGCATTATAATTTGGGACGAAGGGAGTACTATATAAATTTTATTTTAAAATTTTACTCCTATAATCAATTAAATTAAATTGAAAATAAAGTCGGTCAAGCCTCGTAACGCATAATGAGAAGATCATGGAGTATTATTTTTATTTAATTTGAGGTCAAAGTTTACCAATTTTAACCGAAAAAAGTCAAAAGTGACTACGCCAAATCATAATGACTTCCTTGCACTGCGGCCTTACAAATCATAAGGACCACATGTTGAACTACACCAATTACATAATATTGTGTCTTTTTACGCACACAATAATGTCTTTATTTATAATTATTAGGGAGTATAATATTGTCCTATTGAAAATATATACTCCAATTATTTGTCTAAAATGTCTCTGTTGGCTTATATTTAAAAAAAAAAAATTGTGTATGCACATACTAAACGTATTTAGTAACTTAGTGGGGAGAAACTGTATTTACTACGGAGTATTTAGTAACTTATAAACGTTAAACTTGAAGGAGTCTAATTTAAAACACAAAAAAACAAATCATGGACATCAAATCCAAAATCAATCACAAGCAAACCCTTCATAGTCAGTCATCTTCAAAGTGGCTGCCGCATGTAATGAAACCCAGCATTATCAAATTCCAGGCCAATCTCTTCACGTAGACTGCCAAGGAAAGGAGGACCTTGTGATTTTTCCAAGAATTGAGAAGCATCCATACATGTAATCCGGCCATCTTCATCAAAAGCAGCAAGAGTCTCGTGTGGCTCGCAGAGAGGGTGGAAGAAATCAGCGCAAAGTTTGGCTGACTTGGCCGGGTCTGCACGGCATACCAACAACCCCTTCCCCATGAAGTCTTTATCACTAGCGCCGCTACCATCTATGCTTACAGTAACCACCGCAACAAGACTTGAAAACTTTCTCTTAATATCCTTTTTATGCCATGCACTCAATTTATCAGCTAGGAATTTCTCCTTCTCTTTGTACAGATACAAAACAACAATCTTGTTCGTAAGCATATCTGTTGGCGACAGAAGAAGGAAGCCAGATCAAAGAAGGAAACTGAATCCCTTTGGGATTCGGTTTAGTATCTTTCCTAGTTTGCTTAGTTCTTGTTATAGTAGGAATAGAAATATGGTAGGAATGAAAGTTACTTAAATGCTTTACTCTCTTCCTATATAAAGGAGGTTAGACCTTTGTAAGCACAAGCCAATTCAATACACAGAATATTTTTCCTCTTATTATTTTCTACAATATCTGTACATATATCAATCTCGGTGCAGGTATCAAGGGTGGTATAAACATGTTCCCAAGGAAGTAGTAACGAGTTCAATCTCAGTCCCATTTTCCTTTGAAATTCCTTCTCAATCAAACTCCTCCTGGTGAAGGGATAACCGTGCATGCCGAAGTCACGGATGATTGGTAATCCATAGGGATCCACATGCTTTTCAACAGGATCCACTATGAAAACACCTTCCTCATTACTGTCAGCTTTACACATTCGCCGTAGCCTATGGCATGCGGCGTTGTCAAAGGGAAAACACCACCAGCCTGCTAGCAGCTTAAGACTCGCAAGAGCTTCAATGATCAAATCCTCATGCAACTTTGGTGGCACCTGCATATGGAAGGGGCAGCACACCACCACAATCTCCAGCCCATACTCTTGCCGCCTACATTCCTCCTGAACCTCCTGAAGCCTCCTCAAACTTGTACCATCAGAGCACACGTAAAGCCCCACAAGCTTCTGTTTAAGTTCTGAAACATTGACACGACCATCCTTCCCGATATTGCATAGAACATCAGTGTCCCTAAGGCCCAAAAGCTCATTCAGGGAGAGCTCCTGCAGATAAGAATCACGGCATAAACCAATCTCCATTCTCTCCGGAGTAAAGGGGAAGCAATCGAATTCTGCTCCTCCAAACTCAAGAAACATGCCGGGCCGGCCATGGTAAAGCACCTTCTGAGATGGATCTAGAATCACGACTTCAGTGTCACCATCAAAACCAAGTGCTGAGCAAATGTACTCTCGCCGAGGAGAGTCATGGAAAGGGACAGCAAGGCAGGAAAATCCTGACAAGAAGTGCAGATATGTTTTGAGGGAATGAGTGAACCCCTTCCTCATCATTGGCACCACCACCAGCACAAAATCGTCTCTTTTAGCAAGCTCGTGAGAAGCTAGAGCTGTGTGATAAACCACGGGTCCATCGGCTGAATGCCATATCGAAGGCACAAACACACAACAAATCATGATGTATTTACCCTTCAGGTTTAGGGTGCTCTCAATGTTCACATTCTCCTTGCCTGTTGTTTTGACAAAGGTAACACTTTGGTTCCTTAAGTATACATATACACACATGTATGCACAAATCTAGCATGTTAAATTTAAAATATTTACTGAACTTAGCATAATAGATGTCTAACAATATAATCATATTCCAGGATCACTAAGAAGAAAGCAATTACGACTTACAAATTCAGGAACTCAAAAAAAAGGTTCAATTCAATTCTAAATATATGGTTTCCGGCGAGCAAATGAAGATCTCTGTTCGTGTGTTCCTTTTTCACGGATTGAGCGAAGAGAGAAAGGCGACTGGCTATTAGCTTTTCCCATACTATCTATTCGAAGTGGAGAGCATTGAGCACGTCTCAGTTGAAGATTTGAGAGGATGAAAAGAGGTATCAATAGAAAGAGAGTATTTTTTTAAAATGCATTCAAACTCACCTAGCTTAACATCCTTAGGATTTGTCTAAATATTAAATCCCATATACTAATTAACACCATTAAATAGAGTATTTTTTAAAAAACATTACTCCGTTAAGATTCAGTATCATCCAACAAAGGGTACGCAAGAGCCATAAAAGGCACTTTTAAAAAAAGCCATATTTTGTTTCTTTAGTACAAAGGCACAAAGCCTTATTTTTTTAAAATAAACAACGTAAAGAAAATTTTAAATTCAAAAATGATAAACCTAAAAGCTATAAACACACTTCCAATTTTTTATTTAAGTTTTTTTTTGTACAGTTTTGCTTTTAGTAAGGGTAAGATCAGCTTTTCGTTAAAGAAAAACTTAGTTTAAATGTAAAATCTGATTAAATATTTCAAAAGAGAGTAAATAGAGCCTATATAAATTATCACTTATAAAAACAAAGTACAACTCATAATTTCTTCATAAATTTATTAAAATGGCAAGTCCTTTATAAAACATTAGCGTAGAGAATCAGATTTGGGGAAGTTTTCGCACCAACCCATTTAAGAAGAATTGAAAGAAGCACAATTATGTATCGAAAAACACATCTAGGTGGGTCGCAATAACACTCATCAAAGAGCTAGTCGCGCTAAGAACAATCCCTAAGCCCAAACCTTTTCTTTCTTCATCCTACACACCAATCCACAAAACTGACTATCCATCTTCCAACAAATACACCCAAGTTTAAGCACAATGTCTAGGCTTTTACTTTCAAAGTTCTCTTTATGTTAACCAACTCTGTCAAATATTCAGCACATTTTGCAAGTTGTTTGTTGAAATATTAGAATAATAATATTGCTCTTTGAATTATGAAGTACATGATAGAGTATATATAGAAAAGACTCCTAACACAACTAGGAATAGAGAATGGAAACTAACTAAAATACAACTTCTACCATAACTAGGAATACTTAATATTATTGTCTAACATTCCCCCTCAAGCTGAACTCTGACTGAAGCAAGAGGAAGCTTGGACATTAGCCGGAAACTGAAAATTTTGAGAAGAGAGAAGTCGTGCCGGTGGCTGCTGACGTCGTTGGAGAAAAGAGAAGTCTGACGTGCGCTAGTAGCTGCAGACATCGTTGAAGAAGAGAGAAATTGATGTGCGCTTGTAGCTGCTAACGTCGAAGAAGAAGAGAGAAGGTTGATGTGCGCTTGTAGCTGCTGACGTCGAAGAAGAATAGAGAAGGCTACTTGAAGTGCCTGTTTGACTGAAGATCTTTGACATTCTATGTCTTTTTCTTGGATCCGGGCAATGCCCTATTTCCTTCTTGAAGGGGTGAGTTGTACAGGTCTTTTTTCCTCTTTCACTACTTCCCCTCTTGGCTTTGCTTTTGTGCTGATTTACTTTAAATTTTTGTTGGTTGAACAGAAGAGAAAAAGAAGGGAGATTGATGATTAGAATGAGTGATTTGAGAGAGAAAAAAGTGGGTTAAGAATTTTGATGGAAAAAGAATTTGGGTCTTAGATTTTGATATGGTGAATTAGAGAGAAACAACAATATTTTTTTTTCTTTTTTTTTGAGAAGATAGGATGATCTGAGAGAATTTGTGAGGAATTGGGGTTTTTTTTTTGAAGAACCATGGAGATGATAAGAGATAAGTTCCTCCTTTGATAGTTTTTTTTGTGTGATTTCAACAAGGGTTTTTTTCCTTCTTTTTTTCATTTAAGTGGAGAAGTTGATTTGAGGATAAAGAAGGAAAAGAAAATAGAGCTAAGGTGAACAGGGTGGAGCCGCCGTCGCCGGAATTACTGGCGGCAGCGGCAGGAGCAAAGAACCCTTTTTTTAGGTCACCAAGAGCGGTGGCTTTGATACCATGTTGAAATATTGGAATAATAATATTGCTCTTTGATTATGGAATACATGATAGAGTATATATAGGAGAGATTCCTAACACAACTAGGAATAGAGAATGGAAACTAACTAACATACAATATCTACTACAAATAGGATTAGGAAGCTGACTAATAATGAAAGACTACCATAACCAATACTACCAGAAGTAATATTAGTTTTATTGTCTAACATCCCCCCTCAAGCTGAACTCTGGCTGAAGCAAGAGAAAGCTTGGACACTAGCTGGAAACTGGAAACTTTAAGAAGAGAGAAGTTTGACATGCGCCGGTGGCTGCTCACGTCGTTGGAGAAGAGACAAGTCTGACGTGCGCCGGTGGCTGCTGACATCGTTGGAGAAGAGAGAAGTATGACGTGCACTGGTAGCTACTAACGTCGTTGGAGAAGAGAGAAATTGACGTGCGTTGGTAGCTGCTGACGTCGATGAAGAAGAAAGAAGATTGACGTGGGTTGGTAGCTGCTGGCGTCGAAGAAGAGAGAAGGTTGACGTGCGCTTATAGCTACTGACGTCGAAGAAGAATAGAGAAGGCTACTGGAGGTGCCTGTTTGACTGAAGATCCTTGACATTCTTTGTCTTTTTTCTTGGATCCGGGCAATGCCCTATTTCTTTCTTGAAGGGTTGTAGAGGTATTTTTTCTCTTTCACTACTTCCTCTTTGAATTATGAAGTACAATATTATTGTCTAACATTGTTAATTACTTTCAAAGTTTCCTTTAAATTGCACCCAAACCACATAATGAGCATAAGCAACGAAATTATCAACTCATCATTCCTATGAAATCAAAGTTAAGCCACATGTATGCAGGTTCAAAGAATTGTGTCCCATTTAAAAAGCTCTGAGTTCTTGCACCAAACATTTTTTGTCCAAAAAAAACTTCTGGTTAAGAAAAGAGTATTATTATCATCATCAAATTTAGAGAATGAATTGCAGGATATGCACATCTGTAATTGCCAATATTGATTTTATTGAACATATCTCTGAACAAAAACAAAAATAAAGGAAAATTATAGTTAAAAAAAGACAAAATGCAATTGCATCACAGATAAATTGTAGGTAGAAATTTAGTATACCTGTTTTTTAAAGAAAATCAAAACTATTTCAAACCTGAATAATAGGTAAACGCCGAAGATGATGATGGAAACAATGGATGTAGTTAATAGATTTTTAGTACCCGAAGCTCCTCCATTAACGGCCGCCGAAGCTCCTCCGTTAGTGGCCGCCGAAGCTCCTCCGTACTTTTTTTTATGGATCTAACGGAAGAAGTGTGGCGTATAACTCGAGAAAAGTAGCTTCTCTTGTACGCTCCATCGATCCATGTGGCTAAAAAGACAGCATGCCCCACCTATATTAATTAGTTTTTCAGCCCTGTAAATACCTGCTCACACTCCCCAATTGTTTTTTTCATGATTACCTAAGCCGCCCTATGTTAAAGCTACGATTTTTAAACAGCCTGGCGCTACCCATATGCTGTACAATATCCGAATTCAGGCCCACCACATATCACAGCCCAATTTACCTAAACCCGGCCCGATAATTTTAGGCGGGAACACTGTAGCAATTGCCCTCACACCATTGGCCTGGCGCCACCCATATGCCCTCACACTGTAGCAATTGCCCTCCTACCCAGCCCACTACTAGGCCCAATATCAAATAATCCATTAATCCCCTTGAGGACTCGCTCTCTCTCGACTCTCGCTCACATCGTAACCCCCAATCCACAATGGCGTCCATCGGCGCGTCGGGCATCGCTTTCTCCGTTAGCCATTCCCATCGCCGCCGTACTACGCCATCCACGACACCTCTACTCCGGCCACGCTCGATCAAATCCAGCCGAACTGGCTCTACCATATCTTGTAAAAACCCTGAACCCTCACAGCAATCCAGAGCCCGGCGAAATTCCGACGTTTTCCCGTCCAAACGATTCAATGGACTCATTAAAGCATCTGCTGCGCTCGGCTCTGGTCTCTTCTTGCTTTCTAAGGCGTTTCATAAGCACTCATTGTTTGGTAATGGTGGGGGAGGTGGCTCCGGCGGAGGAACAGGTGGTGGAGGCGGCGGCGGCGGCAGTGATGGTGGTGGTAATTTCTGGTCTGAGATTGTCTGTCCTTCTGCCAATGCTGGGGAGGAAGAGTCGCAAGAGTGGGATAACCATGGATTGCCGGCCAACATTGTGGTCCAGCTGATCAAGCTCAGTGGATTCAAGAGGTATAAACTATCGGACATCTGCTTCTTTGATCGGAGTAGCGGGAAAAGAATAGGAACTGAGGATTCCTTCTTTGAGATGGTGTCTCTCCGGCCAGGTGGGGTGTACACCAAGGCCCAGCTCCAGAAGGAAGTTGAAACCCTAGCTTCCAGTGGAATGTTTGAGAAAGTTGAAATGGAAGTGAGATCAAATCCGGATGGGACAATCAACATCACCCTTCCTTTCTTGGAGAGCACTTGGCAGTCTGCGGATAGTTTCACCTGCATCAATGTGGGGTTGATGGCTCAACAAAAGCCTATCGAAGTGGATTCGGACTTGACAGAGAAGGAGATGATCGAGTATTATAAAATGCAGGAGAGGGATTACAATAAGAGAATTCAAAGGTCAAGGCCATGTTTGCTTTCCCAGAAAGCTCAAAGGGAAATTTTGAATATGATTATTCGTAGTGGGAGTGTGAGTGCGCGACTGCTTCAGGATATAAGGGACAAGGTGCAAAAGTGGTACCATGAAAATGGATACGCATGTGCGCAAGTTGTGAACTTTGGTAACTTGAACACGAGCGAGGTGGTCTGTGAAGTGGTAGAGGGAGATATCACTCAACTTGCTATTCAGTTTCAGGACAAGCTTGGAAATATATGTGAAGGGAACACTCAGCTCGATGTTGTCAAAAGAGAAATACCTAAACAGGTCATTTTAATTTTAATTCCTTGAATTTTCTCCTCTCCCCATTTAATGTACTCTTTATTGTAGTGTTCATGTTACTCTTTGTATTTTAAGGATTCATTTGACCGCATTTACGTGGGGCTCATTCTGCTTATACGTCGAATAATCATAACAAGCATTACTTCCTTTGACATATTTAATTGACAAGATTTGATGTTCCTAACATTTTGTAGTTTTGAAAATTCAGCAGATTCAGCCACCATTTCAGATGAATAACACTTAAGAAAGCATTCAGCTGCACTAGTTTCAATATTAAAACTGACTATTTATTTTCTAGATCCCAATAAGTCATGATAACAATTGAATGTGGAATTGGAGCAATGGTTAAGGGATGAAATTCTTTTGAAGCTCAATTTATCTGATTATGTTATTGTGCTTGGCATCAAATCTATAGGGTCCCATAGTGGATCACATATGTAATTAGTTTTATCAATCGACTACTGACTATTGATTGCATATACAGCTCCGCAAAGGAAAAGTTTTCAACATTGAAGTTGGAAAACAAGCCTTAAGGAACATAAATTCTCTTTCTCTCTTCTCTAACATTGAAGTCAATCCACGGCCTGATGAAAAGAATGAGGGTGGAATTATTGTAGAGATTAAGTTGAAGGAATTGGACCATAAGTCTGCAGAAGTCAGTACAGAATGGAGCATTGTGCCTGGACGTGGAGGTCGTCCGACACTGGTATAGAATGAAAGTTCATATTTGAATGGTTTGATTTTGTATTTATTGTTTTTTCAAATTGTTCACACGATGCATGTGCTTTTTGTGGGTATTGCTTTTTATTAGGCTTCAATTCAACCTGGTGGAACGGTTTCGTTTGAGCATCGGAATATTAAAGGGTTGAATAGATCAATACTTGGTTCTGTTACTACCAGCAACTTCCTCAACCCCCAGGTAATTTTCTTCACCATTCATTGTTTTTATTTTTATTACAAAAAAAGCAACACATTTTCATTTTGACAAGATTTTCACCAAAATTACTTGCAGGATGATCTTTCATTTAAGCTAGAGTATGTGCACCCATATTTTGACGGCGTAACAAACCCTCGTAATCGTACATTCCGTACAAGCTGCTTCAATAGTAGAAAGCTAAGTCCAGTTTTCACGGGTGGGCCAGGAGTGGATGAAGTCCCTCCTATATGGGTGGACCGAGCAGGAGTTAAAGCCAATTTTACGGAGGTAATTGAAAATTTCTCCCTTATGTAGTCCTCTCCCAGTCTCCCTAGACCTTATTATAAGTCTCAATTAACCGAACTACACTAACACATATCAGGAAAAGTAGTAAATATTTTTGGGTTCTTAAAAACATTACTCTCTCCGTTCCAATTTGTTGTCCCCGTTTTCATTTTTGCTCCCCACTTTGTTGTGCATGTTTCTATGTATAGAGTGTCTTGTGTATTCATGGTATTTCTCCCTTTGTGTGAGTTTCAGCCACACATTTTTCACTTTATTAATACCTCTTACCTTACAATTTTAGCACAACAAATTGGAACCAAGGTAGCATTATGCTTGAATTTGATTCTTTTTCACTCTCCCTTGTAAAAGAAAGCTTTGATAAAAGTAAAGATGGACACAGTTTCTCTTAGGGGCAAACAATGTAAAAAAACAATAAGTCCTTGAAGGAAAAATGCCTTGTAAAAAGGGACAACTGATTCATTATAAAAGGCGACTTATAATAAGGACCCGAGGGAGTAACATTTGTGATGTCCATGGGATATTGGACTTATATCAAATAAACATCAATGAAATAATGTTTCCAGAAAATTCTTTATTTTGCAAGCTCTTTTGATGGTTGTTTATTCTTGTTCAAGACTCCTGCCTCTCATTTTGAACGTTATGTAAATTGTCATATTGGAGCAGAATTTCACAAGGCAGAGCAAGTTCACATATGGACTTGTGTTGGAAGAGATTACTACGCGTGATGAAAGCAGTCACATATCTGCTCGGGGTCAGAGGGTTTTACCAAGTGGAGGAATCAGTGCCGATGGACCTCCTACCACGCTTAGCGACACTGGCATTGACAGGGTGGCATTCTTGCAGGCAAACATCACTCGAGATAACACCAAGTTCATAAATGGAGCAATTGTGGGTGAGAGGAATGTTTTCCAGGTAAGATGTGACTATTTTTTTGGGTTTTATCCAAACTCTAAATCTGGATCTCCAATAAATAGAGTCTTGACAACCATCCTTCTACACAAATGTGATACAATGTTGTTTTTCTGTTCTGAGAACTGATTTTACACGATCCTAGTTTTTTCTTGTACTTTGAATTTCCAAAAGCAAACAAGGCATCAATATTTATTTTGCCCTTCTATATGTTTTTTTCTTATAATTGTGTTGCAAGTATATATTCCTACTGTTGTCTCCTGGGTAGAAAACCTGATGCCAATGATGAAATACGGATTAGTAAATATGGTATTTCTATTAAAAATGAATATATTCATGGTGATCTCGAATTAAATTCTTTTTCCCAGCTTGACCAAGGACTCGGTATTGGAAGCAAATATCCATTCTTCAACCGACACCAGTTGACACTCACCAGATTTATTCAGTTGAAGAAAGTGGATGAAGGTGTTGGTAAGTCTCCACCGCCTGTTTTAGTCCTTCATGGGCACTATGGTGGCTGTGTCGGGGATCTGGCAAGCTATGATGCTTTCACACTTGGGGGACCATATTCAGTACGGGGATACAACATGGGAGAGATTGGTGCTGCAAGGAATATACTTGAGGTACTTATATGCTAGTGAATAAGGAAAATTTTACTCTCTCTCTCTCTCTCTCTTGCCATGCTTCATCAATAGTTGATAGAAAGTGCATGCTGTATGCCTATATCAGTTGAAAAGTTGAAGATTGAAAATGAACACTATCACAACTCCCTTGGACCTGTATGTTGGTAAGTGGAATTTATCAATCCAATACTTAAAGAATAATGACCGTCCATTAAAAATTCTTCATTTAATTTTATTTTACAAACAACTTTTGATTTCCACAGAAAGTCAATATAAAAATAATTAAATAAAAAAACAAAACTCATGATTTTCAGTCTTAGATTTTACAATCATTAAGGCAACCTATCCTTTTTGGATCCAAGATTGATATAGATAACCTATATCTTTAGGGTCTTGAACTGTCCTGTGTATGATTGAATGTAAACTCCAGGTTGCTGCCGAGCTCCGGGTCCCTGTGAAAGGCACACACGTTTATGCATTTGCTGAACACGGAAATGATCTTGGCAGTTCAAAGGATGTTAAAGGGAACCCCACAGCGGTTTACAGGCGAGTGGGCCATGGTTCGTCATATGGTGTTGGAATCAAGCTAGGTCTGGTACGTGCCGAATACGCAGTTGACCACAACTCTGGCACTGGTACCACATTCTTCAGGTTTGGTGAGAGGTTTTGAGGAGGATGTGGGTTCTCATAATGCAAGTTCTCAAACCACAAACTTCCAATGATCTAATGGATCTCCTTATGAAAGCCCGCGTCATTTTGCCCCCTCTATTTATGGTCAATTCGATCTCTTCTTCGGGTAAGTGCAGCTGAGTTCCGGTCATATGTTTTGCAGCAAATGGTCTCTTCTCTGGGTTCCTTGTTTTTAAAACTAGATGTATGTGGGATTGACAAAACATTTGTGTTTTTATTTCCGGTTTCAACGGGTTATGCGAAGAGCTAATGTCCATTGAGGTGATCAAAGTAGGTTGTGGATGTCCATTACATAATTTTCATGTTTTATTAGAAATAAACAAAAGGCAAATTCATGTGTTGCAAATGGAGAAGGGAAGAGCTTGTGTTATAATGTCCCCTACATGTTTAATTACTCCGTAATACTCTCTGTCTCAAATTAATCTCATTTGTTATTTCACGTAATTTAAAAAAATGAAAATTGTTCGGGTGAGATTTATGTAATCAATATGGATCATCAATTTTATTTCTTTTAACGAATGAGATGTTTATTTTGGGACAACCCAAGAAAAGAAAGAAAGTGCCAAGATTAATTTGGGAGAAGCATTTAAATTGCTTCTCTAAATACGAGCATAAGTTACTCTATCCAAGATTATTTTCTTGGTTTGACATAACATGATATTAATGAGATAGTAAAAAATTAGGCTTTTTTACATTGAGAATACTTGTTTCACAAACAAAATGGGTACAAATCTTACAAGTTTATTATTTGTGAACTGCAGTAAAAAATAAAGTTGTCTAAAATAATTTTTAAATGAAAATTTAAAATATAAATGATAAGTTTGTAAATTTTGTGAACATTTTGTGTGTGAATTTAGCATTGCTCTTACATTGGTATCTTGAATGAATAGTTTTAAATCAAGTTGCTAAAAATAGTGTTAAATAAAGTGAATACTAAAAATGAAAAAATGATAATTTCATGGTTAAATTATTAAAATTAACCAGCCCCAAAAAAGGAAAATAATCAGTCCCAAAAAATGAGCAATTCACTTATTGCATGGACCTAAGGTTTATGGTAAACTTTCATATATTTTAAATAAGTATTTTCCAAGTGTTGAAATAAAGATAATTAAAATAAAAATGTGAGAAGTTTCATGTGGACCTTAGGTCCACTATCGAACCACTCAAGTGAGTGATAATGTAAAAAAAATTAACCTTTTTTTATTATAAAAAAGCCTAAAAGTTGGTGTAACGGATCTCATTCTGTAATGATATTAATTGTTTTTAACGAAATAAATCGACAAGAATAAATAAATTGTGGAAAGTTAAAAATCAAGAACAAACATAAAAGATGTATCTTGGTTAACCATAACTAGTGACGAATGCAATTCCCAAGTGACTATTTGAAATTGTACTAACCTACCAAGTTTGCAAGTGCTTGAAAAGTCATTTACAGCCAAGACTTAGAACTTTACAAGCTTCAAATACTTAGGAATACCTCATTCTAAGATTCACTACTAAATGAAGAGATACTACACTATAATAAAATCAATATCATTCAAAAGAGAAAAAAACCACTAGTGTTGCGGGTATTTGGCAAACTGGTATAAGACTACACCATGAAGGTTTGGGAGCGAGTTATCGAGTATAGGGTGCGGAAAGAGGTTTGCATCTCGGAGAACCAGTTTGGTTTAATGCCTGGCAGATCGACTACAGAGGCCATTCATCTCGCGAGGAGGTTAATGGAAGAGTATAGGGCTAGGAAGAAGGACCTTCATATGGTGTTTATTGACCTTGAGAAGGCGTATGATAGGGTGCCAAGGGAGGCCTTATGGAGGTGCCTTGAGGCGAGAGGAGTGCCCATCGTGTACACTCGCGCGATCAAGGATATGTACGATGGGGCTATGACCAAGGTAAGGACTTCCGGGGGCGTCTCAGATTCCTTCTCGGTAGGGATGGGGTTGCACCAAGGGTCTGCTCTTAGCCCTTTTTTGTTCGCCTTGGTGATGGACGTCCTAACTTAAGGTGTTCAAGACGGGGTCCCATGGTGCATGCTTTTCGCGGATGATATTGTGCTTATCGACGACACGCGTGAGGGACTAAACGATAAGTTGGAATTATGGCACCTTGCCCTTGAGACTAAAGGATTCAGAATAAGTAGGAACAAGACTGAATACATGGAATGTCGTTTCAGTGGCCGGGATACAGAATCAGAGGTGGAAGTCAAGATTGACTCTCACCTAGTACCTAAGGTAGACAGGTTTCGTTATCTTGGCTTAGTAATTCAGGCGGATGGGGAGTTAGATGCGGATGTTGGACATCGGGTTGGAGTGGCTTGGGCCAAATGGCGGTTAGCTTCAGGGGTGTTGTGTGATCCGAAGATTTCGCCTAGAATGAAAGGTAAGTTCTATCGATCCGTAGTCAGACCTGCTATGTTATATGGGGCAGAGTGTTGGGCGGTTAAGAAGACTCATGTGCGTCGTCTGCATGCGGCGGAGATGCGGATGTNGGAAGTAGGGGAAGGGGTAGACCTAAGAAGAATTGGGAGGAGGTGATAAGACAGGATTTAGGACTTCTCGACCTGACTGAGGATATGGCCCTAGATAGGAACCTTTGGAGAACTAGGATTAGAGTAGCTGGATAGGAGCTCGGTGTTGTAGAGGTTGTTTTGTAGTGTGTTGTATTTGTTGGGAATCTTTTGCTATTGTTTGTACTTGTTGCTTGTACTTGGTGCCTTATATGTGCTATACTGTGTTCTCTTCCATATTTTTGTGCAGGTGGAGCCGGGAGTCTCTTGGAAACAGCCTCCCTACTTCCGAGTAGGGGCAAGGTCTGCGTACACACACCCTCCCCAGACCCTACTGTTGTGGGATTCAACTGGGTTGTTGTTGTTGTTGTTGTTGTTGTTGTTGTTGTTGTTGTATAAGACTATACCACATGATTTATTACCCCCAACAAAATATACTACACATTTATTAACAACACAAGAGAATAACTTCTTGACATCTCTCTGAGTACGAGTTATGAAGAAATACGAAGAATGCCTAATGAATAATGCTTTGAACATTCGATACGACTCAACAAAAGCAAGAATAGAACAAAACTATCAAAGGGGTTGAGAGTTCCAAGGAAATAAGAGAAAAGCATCCTCATAAAAATTTAAATTTTAAATTTTAGTTTTTAATGTTAAATTATTAATTTTTAATTCATAAGACTTGTTTCTTTCTCATAACCCAGAAAAGATCTCCATGATTTGATTTTGACCCATAAAATACAAATTCTAAGGGGGGTGTATTGAACCCGGAGTCTGTAAGATTTTTTTGGATTTTTAAAATCTGAGTGTATTCAATTTGGATTTTTAAAAGTCTTTAAAAAGCTTGAGGTATTCAATAGTGATTTTTCAAAGTCTTTAAAAATATTGAAGTATTCAACTTGGATTTTCAAAAGTCCTTAAAAATTTTGATATATTCAAAAATCTATGAATTTTAATAGTCTATGGATTTTATTGGATTTTCTATCAAAAAATGCTTACATTTTTACTCATGGAAATCTCTCCTCCCAACCCTAGATTTCTATGGATTTTCATCCATTCTTCATCCACCGGCGTTTTTCAATTCGTTCCCTACTGAACGAAGCTAAGGTGTTTCCGGCAGCAGATGATGGCAGTTGGCAGCCTACTATCCTGACAACCTTACCACTGACCACATTCAACAAGTCTTTCTTTTCCTTTTTCTTTTCTTCTTTTTTTTTCTCTTCCATTTTTATTCTTTCATATCTATTCTCTTCTCCCCTGCTATGTGACTGTTCACCTACTCCTCCTGCTTTGCTTTGTGTCTCCGGGTGGGTGGGGGTGATATTCTACATATTTTTTAAACTCCACATGGATGCTACGAATTTTTCAAACTCTACATGGATTCTACAAAAAATTCACCAAACTCTACATGGATTCTATAGATTTTTCAAATCCATTAAGTTTTTGAAATCTAAAAAAATCTAATAAAATCCTAATTGAATAACCCCCCCTAAATTTCCAATTCTTTTCCCGTGCTATGGAATTCATGATGCGAAATTGGAAGAATTGAAATTAGGCTCAATTCCAATTCTACATATTTTTGCGATACCAAACAGAAAAATTAGAATTGGAGCCTAAAATTTGTGGAGCTTTGCATACACTTAAAATAGTTTACGTATTTTACATAAAGTATGGATTTTAAACCGTCTGTTATAATTTTTCAAAATCAGAATTGAATGCACCTCCCCATATAAGTATGGAGTATTAAAAGTTTTGGTGAATAATTTTTTTGGGAAAAAGTTTTGGTCCGTAATATGTAAAAACTAGACGAGCGAATGGTTGTTGGAAGGATAATTTTAATTGTTACGAAGCATTTCTTTATAGGGTTAAATATGTTTTTAGTCCCTGTAAGATAGACAAATTTTTTTATGATCCCTATAAAATATTTCAAGCCCTAAATTTTGTATTTATTAATATTCCATCCCTGATTTTTGAATTTCTTAGGAATACATTATAATAAAAATTTGGAAATTGAAGATATAATTTAATAAGGAACACAATTTAGAATATGAAAATTGTGTCTGAAGTAATTAGAAATACAAAACTAAGTCGTTGAGTACGAAATGAATGTGATATGTTTACAAATTAAAAGTCTTAATTGACTATTTTAAAAATAAAAATTTTTGTAAGAATAACTTAAACAAAAACTATTTTACATGAATAAAAAGAAGTCGTCTATTTTATAGGGACTAAAAACATATTTAACTTTTCTTTATAATAAGAGATTTTTCGTGTTCAATCTTGTATTATCAAATATCACGTTCGTGCTCTTTTTTTATAGGTACCATCCCGAACATGCCTTTTTCAACCTTTTGTTATGTTAGTGTTAAATAGAGGACTAATAATGTAATTTTACATCGACCCTGGTGACGTATTCTGATGTCTGCTTGACAGATCACACAACAATAAAGATTATAGTTGTAAGTTAGGATTCCGACAAGAGACAACATATGTAGACTATTGTTGCAGTAGAGAACGATGAAATATTTGCACTAAATAGTACTAAAACTTAAGTCATTTCCCTAAATAGCACTTAAATTGTTTTATTCTCTAAATAGCACTTAAAAATGTTCATAATGACCAGTGATAACAAATATTTACTTGAATAATAACCAATGCATAATGACTAAAAATGCTACATTGGGAAGAAAAACACATGTGGTGTTATTTAGAGAAAGTCATTATGTTTAAGTGTTATTTAAGTAAATTCCTTGAGAACGATTTCAATTGACAAACGATGCAACAACAGCGGCTTATGACATTGGCTATGATAAAAAAAACATGATCAGTGTTAAATTATATTTTTAGCCGTTCATTTAATATCAACATGACAAAAGGTAAAAAAGAACTATTCGTAAAAAAGATATATATAAAATAAGAATTGCGGACATAATATTTGATAATAGTAAAAGAATAGATAGGGAAAATCTGTTGTTATAAAACACTAATTATAAAATCTACTCTGCACCTTTGAAGATATGGAGTGACTTTTTTCCCATGTACTGTTTTTTAGTATAAAATCTATAATAATTGATACAAAGAGCTCTCACATCACCAAAAAAAATTTCCCAAATAGTTGATACACAAGCATCTAAGTCTTGAGTGCCAAAGAGAGCAGTATTTCTTAGCACGCTCCACAATCACAATCCCACCCAAGAAACCCGACCCTCCCTTTAAAGCAAATGCAATATCCCAAAATTCTTAGAAAACAATGAAAACCCCAGCAACCTTGTTTTTTTCGAATCAACCCGTGAGCATTTTTGGGGAGGAATTGATACCCGGCGAGGAGCGCGAAACAGTATTGGTCCAATTGAGCACCCCCTCTTCCTAATTTTGGAAAATGCACAAAATAGGGGGCTGGGTACCAACTTAATGGTATAGTAGTAGAATTCCCCAAAATATTGAACTGGAATTGGAATCTTCTTGGAGCAAATGGCTCATTATTAGAGTAGCCTGCCCAAAAGAACCTCATAATCATTCTTTTTTCCTTTGCAGATATTTTGTTACTTCGAAAATTACAGAGTGTTCTTTAGGAAACATAAGAATGTGAACAAACAGTACAATTTAACCAATAAGCTTTCTCTCTAAAGATTAGTATCCAATTCCAACTGGCAATTGTTACAAACTAGTCATATTCTGTGGAAGAACCAATACATCTATTCTTGAACACAATAGGGGAAACTTAATTTATTGATATACATATTCTTTTCTTTTTTCAGGTAATGAACTGAAACCTCTTAACAAAATCATACTACTTCCAATCATCATCTACTAAAAATCTGTCCAATTTGGCAATTTCAGCATGAGAGAGTATATTATTATTGTGTGTATATACTTAAGAAAATGGCATTAAAAGGTCATAAGATGAAAGAACCTAACCTCAATCGTTCTTGAGCCACAGCATTATTAATCTGCAGGAGAAAGATTATGATATGCACCATATCTGCTCCCTGCCCAACCTCTCTGCTGCATCAGATTGTACTGGTGATGGTGGAAGGCATTTGATGCTCCGCCGTTTGGAATCCCGAAATGCCCATTGTGCCCCTGAGCCGGCATCCCGATCACGGGCATTGGCATCATCTGCACCTGGGGCAGAGCCGGAAATGGAATTGGAATGGGTGGGATTGGGTGGACGCTGCCGCCGGAATCCTGTGTGGTTTGAGGCGGCACCGGCGTGGAGGCAAACAGATGATCGGAGGAGGAAGGTCCTTCGTTGGACAATCCTTGCATTCTCTTCAGGTACAGCCTGTATTTCTGCAGATGGCTCGCGACGTTCTCCCGCGTCAGCCCCTCCACGTTCATCAGTTGCATAATCGTCTTCGGAACCGCGTTTTTTATCCCGAGATGCGCCACCACATCCACGAACCGCTTGTGCAGCTGCGGCGTCCACACCAGCCTAGGTCTCTTCTGCGACTTCCCCGACGGATCGTCGCCGGCGCCACTCTCGTTCGGAGTCGGCGAATCGGCCTCCTCCGCTCCCCCTCCGAACTCAATCCTCCTTGTCTTCCTCGATTCGGATCCGTCCCGGCTCGGATCCGTGTCGTCGTCCGCGGAGATCTGCTCCCTGTTCCTCTCATCGCTGAGCGGCTTGAGATTCAAATTATTCGGAGATGATGAGAGCGTTTGAGACTGACCTCCCCGGAGAGAAGAAAACGCCGACTGCGATGCGCGATTAACGTCCAGCATAGTTCTACACGGCTCCGGAGGAATCCGAAACGCCGAAGCCAATTCCGGCGGGATCAACGCCTGTGAGAGTGGAGTGAGATCATCTGCGCTCGGAAGGCCTTCCTCCCACTCCGCCACCCTGTCCTCATTTCCGCCGCCGTAGTCACCAATTTTCGCTTCTTCGCCCATCGCAGCTTTTCAGTTGTATATTTACATAAATTCACTGAGATTCGTGTGATGAACGTTTGATGCCTGATTCAAAAAATTTGGCATTCAATCTATCAGAAAATGGGATTCCCTCGTTTTCCGGATAAGGATTCTGGCAGGAATGATAGAAGAGGAAGATATAGGATGGAAAGGGAGATATATCAGATATTTGATATCAGATATTTCAAAGATTATTCAAAGGTAAATTCTGACCATCACAATTTCAAAAAGAGTAACGCTAGGGGTACACTACCTTCTTTTCCACCACACATTTTTATTTTATTTTTATATACTCCCTCCGTCCTATATTTAATTTCCCGTTTTGACTTGAGCTCATTTTTAAGAAAGAGTAAAAATTCCTTTGACTTTCCAAAATTGCCCCTCAACCCTTCTACTTCGCTGCCCGTGATTATTGACGTGAGCTTGCCTAACTCCAACAAAAATCATCCAACCACCACAAGCATATATATCCAACAAATTCAAGCTTTTGGAACAGAATCGATTCATCTGTTCTGAAATAAATTTTTTTTGCATATATATACGCTTCATGTATATCAGTAGATACGAAGGAAGATAATCACACATGAGCCTTAAATCGATCATTGACTCCACCCAATTCAAGAAATTTGGTGTATCAAAAACACACCCAACATTAAAAAGGGGTAAAATCAAAGATGTTAAAAAACACAGATCTAAAATACTCCGTAGAAAGAATTAAGTAGAAGATGCAATAGAAAAAAATGGATCTGCTCTTCTTAGGCTTTTTAGTG